GAGAGGAGAAAGAAAGAGCTAGCTAAGGGGATTGAAGTCTGATTTTGACACAAGATACAAAAAGGAAAAATCAGAATCATAATTGATGGGTGGCATGGTGGCTCAGTGGTTAACACTGCTGTCTCACAGTGTCAAGGACCTGGGTTCCATTCCACCCTTGGGTGACTGTCTGTGTGGAGTTTGCACGTTCTCCCCATGTCTGTGTGGATTTCCTCTGGGTGCTCTGGTTTCTTCCCACAATCTAAAGACATGCCGGCTAGGTGGATTGGCCATGCTAAATTGCCTGTAGTGTTCAGAGATGTGTAGATCAGGTGGATATGAGGAATGGATCTGGGTGGGATGCACTGAGGGGTGGTATGGACTTGTTGGGCCGAAGGGCCTGTTTCCACACTGTTTCCATAGGGATTCTATGAAGCAACTGATAACAACAGCAGTGTAAAATAGGGAAAGAAAGAAAATCACTAAATGTAGTGGAACTAAAAATGCTGGAATCTTCAGCTATATCTAAGAAAAACAAATGTTCGATTTATAACTCAAGCATCTTGTTGGTACATCTATAATCTTCACTATCCCATTTCATTTGTTCACATTTTAATCCCTATATCAACTTCATGCCAAGCAGCTATTCCTGCAAGATGTATTGGTGCATTAACTTTGAGTGATAGTAACAGAATTTTTAAACGTTATCTGACATTTTTTCTTTGATACTGAACTGAAATAAAGTTAGTATGATTAATGTCTATCAGATTCAGATGTTCAGTTCTGCTCATTATAGTCTTCTTTGCTGTGTATTTATTCAGCAATTCATCATTTTAATTATACTTAGGACATTGCTTAATGTAAGACAAATGATTGCCAGATTGCTAACATAAAGTAAGGAGTTGACTTGGTTGGGTTTGGTATCACAGTTTTCCCTTAAATTGGGTGCACAGTTGGTGCAAAAAAAAGAGAAACCTGGGCCCAGATTTCCACTACGATAGACACTCTCGCCAACCTGACAAAAATAGCAAAAGTGGCCTTAGATTGCAAGTCCTGTCCCTGAAGTAGGCATTTCCCATTTTCAAGGGGGTAGGAGTGGAATCAAGTTGGGTTTACTTGCATGTGTGTTCATACAGACAGCTTTGAATAATCAAAAATTGGGAAGGAGGGTGTAGGGGCTGTGTTTTGGGCATTAGGTGGCATGTGTTGGCACTAAATTATCATTGTAAAGGACGAAGGTGCGTACAGGGGCATAGTTTGGTGTGGAAGGTGTAGGGAATCACAAGGGGTTGTGGACAGGGCATTGGTGGTATAGATGGCATGGGCAGCTATGGAGAGTAGAGTGTAGCATTGGGCAGATAGGGAGGTATGGGGGTGAGCAGAAAGACAAAAGGTGCCGTGGGATGGCATGAATGGGGCATGAGGCATGTGTGAGGAAGGAAGACAGCATGAGGGCTGAGAGATGGAGGGTTGTTGTATTAGTTCATTAGTTATTTGCTCATATTCCATACAGTGCTGGTGCACAGAGGCAGACCTTGTGCCAGTCCACAACTGCAAGCCTCGGCTCTTATTCCCCACCTGACTCCCATGAAACCCGGGTCCAGTGACCCTTCTTCAGAACTAAATCATTGGACCTGAAACATTAACTCTGCTTTCTCTCCATAGATGCTGCTAGACCTGCTGAGTTTCTCTGACAATTTCTGTTTTAGTTTTGGATTTTCAGTATCCACAGTTCTTTTATTTCCTTCAATTTATGAACAAATTTGGACAATTTCAGCGACGCAGATGTGAAGTTAAATACAAAAATGTGGACGTTCTTTCACTTTCAGGTGCAGTGCTTCTCCAATGGTTGTGCCAATACAATATCTGGCTATCTGCTCACCCAGCGAAATGTATCAAAATAGATGAATTTTCATCAATTGCATGACACTGAGGAAACTAAACCTCATCCAGCACCAATGATGGGCACTATAACCACCATCTTAAATATTCACTCCCTCCACCACCATTTTAAAATGATATTGGTATGCATTACCTACAGCATGTGACACATTATACCAACTTGGAAGTATATTACCATATCTTACTGAGTCGATTACCCAGTGTTCTCTTCCTAAAACCCCTGTGGGACCACTCTCTATGCATAGTCTGCAGCAGTTCAAGACAGCAACTCACCACCACCCTCTCTATTGCTTAATGCCCTTTCCAAATGCCGGCAATGTCAGTACTGCCCGCATCCTGAAAATGAACTTAAAAAGCAACAAGGTAAACTCACCTCAGAAAGTTAGGATTTGCACATTTCCGGATAAGTACCCTTTTTAACATTTTAATAGCTCTTAATTATTGTTAAGCATTGGGAAGTGGTGGTGAAGTGATTAGCGAAACTTGACTAACATTTGGGAAACCCCAGGCTAAGTGTGTTGGGGGCACAGATTCAAGTCCCATCATGGCAGATGGTGAAATTCTAATGCATTTAAATCTGGCAAAAAAAAAGCTGACCTGTCAGAAATAAAACAAAAAGATCTGGTCCACAAATATCCTTTAGGGAAGGAAATCTGCTATCCTTATCTGGTCTGGCCTTTATGGGATTCTAGACCCAAGTGACAATGTGATTGAGTTAATTACCCTCTGGGCAAATCAGGAACTGACAATAAATACTGCCCACAACTCATGAATGAATGAGAAAAAAAGAAAATTGTCTGACACTGAAAGTTTAACATCTACAAATGTAGAGTCAACTAAACTGCATGCATGTATGACTGCACAGTAACCTGGCATTGCTCTGTGATGAATAATGTGTTTGTGCAGCCACATGAAAAGAATGGAAAAAGATTTTTAAGAGACTTTTAATAAAGATTATATCAAACATGCAATTTATTTAGCTTAGGGTCAATATAAACCCTCTGTTGGGAGTAAAACTGGAGACTTTCTTTTAGTTAACGTGCACATTCTTGAAAATGTTGCTTCCAACAGTTAGAACTGTCACTGCTGCCCCTTTTAATCTGACAGGTATTCCATTAGGAAAAATTAGAATTCCCTATTTTAGCTGAGACCATACATTATAATCCACAAATAACTTAAAATGTGGCTGAAGTCCACTTTCTTACTGATTTCGTTTCCAGTTATGAATGTGAAATACAAACCATAATCCTTGAAATTCACTACTGGTTGTTGTTGCTGAGTGATCAATCCGTGGCAAATGGAATTTTAGACCCAGGTAATATATAAAAGTTTGTCTCTTCAGTTTCAAGTTAATCCATCCTTTAAAAGTTAGCATAGAGTGGGTGCGTAATACAACATTCGAAGTTTGAAAAATACAGTCAATAGGACAATTAATTCTTTTGAGGACAAACTGTAAAATAATAACCAATGACTACTTGGTAAAGAGTAGAATCCAGGTAATGCTGCAGTAGCACTGCTGCTGATGCAGACGTAGGCCGTCTGTAATTTGAAGGGACTAGGAGAACCTTGAAGGGAAAGTTATTAATTTTTTAACATCTCAGTTAAAACCAACACCTAGAAAGTACAAGTTTAAGGGACTCATATGTGAAAACAGAATGCTCAGTGCAGAACCCTTCACAAAAGGAAAATTTCACCCATCTAATCTGTACGGTTCCAGGAGGGTAGCATTCCATAGTTTGAGCTCCATTATTCCCAGAATCATACTAAAATGTTTAAGTTGTTTTTTCAAAAGTACACATAGAACCCCAAATTACCTGACTTTCAGTCCCAGGTTGACAGAAAGTACGGACCAGGTTTCTGCGCTAACCAAGAATTATTATTTATTATAAGTAATTAGACTAGGGCTGCAGATAGCCAGATATAAACCGCTGGCAAATACCACTATTAACTAAACTCTAATCCCCTTATAAACTTAATTGGAAACTGTCTCGGATTTGTAAATTTGAAAGTCACAGCTCATAGTTACTGCTGCAGGAAAGGTAACCAGCTTTCTTCAGGTTTAAACTGAGTTTGTGACTGCAGAGACCAGGCAGCCTCCAGGCTGGGAGGAGATCTGCATTCCTTTCTATCTCCCTCTCTCTATCCCTGTACCCTGTTTCCAGCTCCAAGCTGTTCAGCCACCCGAGAACCAATCACCCAGTTGCTGGCAAGCAAAGGATCTTTGTCATTGACAACTGTTGCTAGTCCACTGACCAATCAACATTTTGTTGCCAATATGAGCTGCATCAGTACACCTCCTCAACTCCAGATCTTCTGCAACCTGAACTTCAATTACTGCTTGGTCAAATAAATGTTTACAATTCTTGCCAGGGCGATCAGGTTAATCATTGTCAACATCGCTGCCAGTCTTTAAAACACTAATTTTTAAAACAGTTCTTTCTCATTTCTGTTCCTGGCTTTTCTAAATAAAAAAAAATAAAAAGACAACAGTCCTTACAAAACTAACGTACGGATTCTGTTACCTTGCAAAAGTTGGAAAAAATAGCAAACATTTATGTAGTAATTCAGATTTGTTTATGAATGCAAATACAGTGCTGAAAGCTGCCTTTTGAAACCCTTCAGGCTCAGGAAATACAAATGAAATTTTAAAAAAATTAAAAAATATAAATAGAAACAAGTTACTTAGGATGAAGACTGAATTGCCAGGGTATGGCTACTGTATTTGAGCACAAGGGTTTAAATTAGATAAGCCTTTCGAAGTAGTTTTTGAGCCCATGAACTACTGCTCATTCAAATCCACAACAAAAATTCACTTCCATGAAGTTTAACTTTAACATAAATGCAGGTAATTTTACTTTCAAGAACGTACCAAGAATCAAAACTTAGCATTTCAAGTAATGTTAGTTTGATATGCAAACGTTTGCAAAATAAAAATCTTTTAATGCATATATTTGAGTGTTTTAAAAAAATGCAGAAAATGGATCACTGAATATCTTTACCGGCTTAAACAGCAGGTGACACTATTGTGACATGTTCCTAAACAACTTATTACTGAAAAAAATTAAGTCGCTATCACTAAACATTGTATGCAACCAAGTTATTGGGTTTCTTTCTCCAACCTGTCTGTTGTCACCTCTCCAAAGTCCATTGACTGTCTGTGTCGGAGCAATAGTAACTACAGGTGGAGTATTTGCTGGAGTCTGGCTTCCTGGTGGAATTATTATTGTTCCCGGAGCCCGTTTGGGTGTACCAGTAGGAGAATTGTGATTGGCAACTGGTGACGATATCGGAGAACGTTCACCACCACGGGAAGAGCCTGAAAATATGAAAAGAGCAATATTAAATAAGATTGCACCACCTGATCTCAATTAATCACCACTGTGCTAATCAGATGAACATCTTTCCTCTCATTTAACACAATGTAATATTCAATATTCAAAGAACATATGTCTATATTTCTTCTTGATGATAAAAAAGCACCTTTATCAAATCCACCACAATATGAAGCCCTCAGCATAAGTTTTCAAATTAAATTCCAAAGACTTGCTACTAAAGGGATCAAGGTTTCGTCTTTTCTCCTGGGGCAAGACAAGTATAATGCTTTAAGAGTGGTACACTTTTAGGTGGACTTACTGATCCTGAATTCCCAATAAGTAACTGTGCTGGAAAATCCAGTTCAGAGAATCAGGAATATAGATTCCAGTTCTGGATTCTGAGTCAGAGTACCAGGGATACAGTATTCCAATTTTGCAATCTTAGTTTTGGAATCAGGGATACATTCCTGGTCCTCCCCTTGCAAAATTCAATGAAAGGTTACAGGACGGATAAATCTTCTGCACTCCTGAAAAATGAGCTGCAAACAAAAGCAGAAATTGCTGGAAAATATCAGTAAGCCTGGCATCTGTGCAGAGAAATCAGAGTTAACGTTTCAGGTCCAGCGACCCTTCCTCAGAACTGATGGTAGCTAGGAGATAAATGGTTTTTATACAAAAGATGAGGTACTGAACAAGGGTCAGTGGACCTGAAATGTTAACTCTGATTTCTCTCCACAGATGCTGCCAGACCTGCTGAGATTTTCCAGCGATTTCTATTTTGTTTCAAATGAACAGCAGATTTCATCATTGTTTCATCCTAGCTTTCAACGTCTTGAAAGAAGTGATGCTCTTGTTTAGCTGCTCTCATCAATATTGTGGTCATACAAAGAGGGAATCAAGAACTAACTCAGTAGGGTATGTGAGCAGGCTTCACATTCATAATCATCATTTCTATTATTCCACCTTTAATCATGACTGAATCATCTTTAAGTTTACCAGCACCCACCAAAACATGCGCCACTAGAATTCTGTTTTCAGCAATACAGGTTGTGCAGCATGTAATGATAGAGGCTTTTGTCCTTTGGACCCAGTTTAACTTTGAGGAACTTCTTTTTTGGCTTATTTCCAGGTATTTTGTTATTACAACAAGAGGACATACTGCATTTGAATGAGGGAAAGAAACACCGGGTGTAGCAAAGTGGGTAAAATGGTAAAAGTCTGAACCAGGAAACTGAATATCTCAGACATGTGCGCTTCCAATCTTGTGCAGGTGGGTGATCAATCTGCCCAAAGAAGAAAGGCTGGTTTGTTAATTTTGTTTTTAAGCAGATTGTGTGCCTTCATTTTAAGAGCGCCTCAGCTTTTCATCATAGTTGACCATAATTCCAAACAAACTCATCTCCAAACTCCGGGACCTAGATCTCTGCTCCCTGCTCTGTAACTGGATTCTTGCCTTCCTAACCAACAGACCACAATCAGTAAGGACAGCCAACAACACGGCCCCCACAATAATCTTCAACGTCGGTGCCCTGCAAGGCTACGTACTCAGTCCCCTACTATATCCCTTATACGTACACGACTGTGTGGCCAAATCCCACCCCAACTCCACTGACACGTTTGCTGACGACACCATCGTTGAAGGTCAGATTTCAAACAATGACGAAACAGAGTGAGATAAGAGTGCTTAGCGGCATGGTGTAAAAACAATAACCTCTCCGTCGACGTCAGCAAAACAAAGGCGCTGGTCATTGACTTTAGGAAGTGGAGTGGATGGCACGCCCCTGTCTGCATCAATGGTACAAAGTGGAGGTGGTCGCCAGGGTCAAGTTCCTGGGTGTGACCATCACCAATTTGTCCTGGTCCACCCACGTTGACACTGTGTTCAAGAAAGCACAGCAACACCTCTACTTCCTCAGGAGGCTAAAGAAATTCAGCATGTCCATAAAAACTCTCACAAATTTTTATAGCTGCAGCACAGAAAGCATCCTATCTGGATGCATCATAAACTGCTGTGGCAACTCCTCTTCCCAAAACTGGAAGAAACTACACAGAGCTGTGAACACAGTTCAGTCCATCACACAAATCAGCCTCCCATCCATTGACTACAGCTATACTTTCCGCTGCCTGGGGAGAGCAACCAACATAATCAAAGACTCCTCCTACCCTGGCTTTACTCTCTTCCACCCTCTTCTGTCAGGCAGAAGATACAAAAGTTTGTATACACTTACGAGCAAATTCAAGAACAGTTTCTTCCCTGGTGTTATCAGACTTTTGAATGGACCTGACCTCTTAAATGTTAATATTAATCTCTCTCTGCATCTTCCTGGCAACTGTAACATTGTTTCCTGCACTCTGTTCTGTTACCCTGATACACGTGCATAGTATGATCTGCCAGCAAAGCAACATAAGACAACACTTTCACCATACCTCAGTACACGTGACAGTAATAAATCAAACCAAATCAAAAAACTTTGGGTTTCACTGCTGTTGAAAAACCTGGCAGATAAAGCAGCCATCAAGGGCTGCAGCCAGATAGTAAGTAAAAACAAAAACAAATGCTAGAAATATTCATCAGGTCAGCAGTGTCTGTGCAGAGAAACAGAGTTAACATTTCAGGTTAAGAAATAACAAGGCGTGGAGCTGGATGAACACAGCAGGCCAAGCAGCATCAGAGGAGCAGGAAAGCTGACGTTTTGGGTCGAGACCCTTCTTCAGAAATCTTTTCAGGTTGATGATTTTTCATTGGAACAGATCATTATTAACATGAGGAGAAATTAAGGTTAAACAAGGATGTATTTACATGGAATAAAGCCAATGCTTTACATTGGGTTGACAAATCCTCAGTGTGCCTACTCCTTCTTCCCATGAAGCCTCTTTCCCCCAAGATGCCCATTTTCCCAGACAGTATCCATTTGACTGCTCCAGTTGCCCTCCCTCACCACTGCCACCTGCTGCTGGAGGTTCTGGTACAACTGCTCAGCATCCTCCCTCACCAATGCCATGAGCTGCTGGAGGTTCCATTACGCTAGGAACAAGCTCAGATACAGCCCCTGGTGCTTCACCCACTGCTCCACTTATTAGGCCAATCTCTGAGTGAAGTTGCAAGCCATGCAATGGGTGAGGCAGGAAACAGGGAGGGAAACAGCAGCCAGTGGGATGGCCAGAAGGCTCTGTCACAAGGTGAGTGGCCAGCAGCCAGCGAGCTCTGTTGTCATGGTGTGACATCATTAACACCATCTGCACACGTGCAGTCAGCCATAAGCATCCTTATCGGCCATCTCAGCATTGACAACATACACACTCTCCTTTATTTAAACTTGGTTTGAGTCTGACACATGATAGATTAACAGCCTCACTTGTTTCTACCTAATTATATCAGCTAACCCATTACACAACTGAAGACTTCTGTGGGATGCCGTTATATTCGCATACAAAGGAGTCTAGGATTGACACCAATAACCAGTGACAAAATTTATGAAACAAATGTTTGCCATTGTTTTGCATAGCAGGTTGGTTGTCAAGTAAACCTTTATAGGTAGCTTAATGTAGACATTTCCTTGTCCTTTTCTCATATTAGGTAATGGATCACCAAGCTTTAGGTCCCTCATTCAAACAAAGAAAGACAGCATCAGTTGGCAACAAAGCACATTGACCCTTCAGCTTGCTCTTAGCAGCTCACATCTCCATCTGATGATTACGCCAAAGAAGCTATTTCTGTAATACATGTCCCCCAATAGAGCCACAAAGTGCCTTCGATTCTTCAAGAACTCTGTTTAGTGAACAGCTACTGAATTACTTTCTGGCTGGCCATACTGACTTTTCCAAAACCCTGCACTGTTGCGTACAAGTGAAATTAATAGGGCTCGAATGTCCTGGGAGTTGTGGTATATGTGTGAAGCAATTATTTTACCATTGTACATTCGGTATTCTGATAACATTTTAATTCCTGTTTAATCTAAATCAAAATCAACCTTGTTCTTTAAAAAACAACTTCATGGTTTGCTTTGATAATCATGCTTAGTCTTGGGGATAGATGACTGCATCACTTCAGTAACTCAGTATCAGTATAAAATATGGCAGAATGTGTAAAGCATAGTACAGCACCTTTTGCTCTATTACAGCAGTGATAATGTTAAAAGATGATTCTCTGGCAACATGTGACACTATACATTTGCACCTCAATGAAACTGTGCTAATTGATTCCAGGTCAGAAACTGATGTAATGGGCCATACATCAATCTCCCAATGGAGGTGCACAGTTGGGTCATATAACAGTAAATTTAAAGTTTCTTAATTTTATGTTCATGCACCTTGTCCAAGATCACCCTCCCCCAACCATCCCCACACTGCCACAGTGAGGATGACCAGAAAATCACATTTCTTGTGACGGACAATTTTCATGTTTTGGTGTGGGTTTAGAAAACTCTAAAAAGTAGAGTATCTCCTCAAAAAGTTTGCAACCACTGGGGGAAGCTGGCTGAAGGCTTGGGAAAATTCTGAAAAGTGCAAAATTACATTGAAATGTAATTATTAGAGCCTGTAATGTAGAGGTGGTTTAATGCAGAGATTCATCGTGGGGAAATTAACCCTTATAACTGATCAGCATTATGTAAGTGTGTCATGTATGGTCGTTTCTCTATTGAATAATGCTCCATAATGCATTAAAACATATTAAAAATGCCATGGCAGCTTTTGGTGTCATATTTTGTGCAGTTTAATAATGGCATTTTTAAATCAAACTGCTCAGAGATGCTATTACACATCTCTGGAGCAGATGGGATTTGAAACTGGACCTCATGGCTTAGAGGTAGGGATATTACCACTGTGCCCCAAGATCCCTCAGGCATTGATTTATATTGACTGATATCTGATAAGAAAAACATGCCTTTGAAATGAGAAAACAAATCTTTGTACATACCCCCTTTTATTTATTGGCAGACATTTTGTTTTGAAATGGATAAGGATTCTGTTCTATCACTTTCAGACAATGTAGCTGCAAGTT